AAACAACATAAAACACAGAGAACTGAGAACCATGAATCAAGGTTCTGGAGGAAGGGTCAAATAATAAATCTTAGGATGGATGGAATAATTCCACCAAAGCTCACTTTACCTGTTACTTGGGGATATTTTTAAATAGGCTTTTCACATATTAAGTAATTCTTGCCCTCATCTAGCATCTGCATAGTATTATTAGGAACCAGAGTCTCAAGAGTATGCATTGGGTGGGCTTGAGGTGACATCTACGTACTTATGTATATATACCCGCTACCATCAGAAATGAAGGATCAGAGTACTGCAAATGCAGCTAAGGAGTGAAGCCCTTGCCAAGCATGCAAAAACAACTGGGTTCAATCTCCAAACCACAAAAACATAAAAAAAAAAACCCCACAACAAAGCAAAAACAAAAACCAACTAAGGGTAAGTACTGTTCCATACTATAAGAAGATATTCAATTGTCTATCTAGATGGGACCAGGAGAAAAATGAGTAGAACAGCCAAACCAGATCATGCATTTATATAATCTCTTTGCTATCCAAAAGGAGAGAAAGCTGAAAAGAAAAGTTAGGAGCCAAATTTAAATGGGGTTGATAACAGTGGCAAAGATGCCAGAGGAAAAGCAGAACTCAAATCTCTAGTAAAGTCAAATTGTAGACTAAAAAGGAAATAAAGTGTCACACTGAGAAACAGGAGGAATAGGGCCCCAGGAGCTAAGATAAAAATTTACTGAGCAATTTATTGCTGTATTAATTGACGGTCACTGGCCTAGCAGCAAATCAGCAACAGGGGTTCTGTAAAGGCATACTGTGGGTTCTGACAGCAGCTTATATCATAGCGAACCTCTTTCAAACCTGTTAAGTGCTACAGTACTTAGGCAAGGTCCTAAATCTCATGAGGTTTTCATTCACATGTAAATTTCGCACAAACCAAATTTTACTTTACTACATCCAGTTTATCCACACCATACAGCTTAATCAGGTAATCAAAAAAGGCTCAAAGTTCTTCCAGCAAAGGCTTAAATAATTTCCAACAAGGGTACTCAGGGACATACAGAAAATGTACTCAAAGCAAAAGACTTTTTTTTAACTTCTTGTATAAAAAAAAATGGACCTCACTTCATTGATTTACATAGGAATATATATTTAACCCCCTATCAAAGTCAGACATTGGATATACAAAAATGAAGAAGATAGGATCTGGGCCTCAAGGGACTTACAGCATGTGTGGGGTGGAGACTGGCATGTAAATTAGTAAGTTTAATAAAATGTTACAGGTTCTATAACAAAAGTATGTCGATGGTAAAATAGGGAAATAAAAAGCAAGAGAGTGATCAATTCTACAGGGGTAGGGGGATCATAAATTCTTTAGAGAAAAGGTGACCCTTTAAAAAGTAGATGCATCAAATGAGGACATTAATATCTATTACATAAAATAAAATTATACACATGTACTTTTTTCTTCATTAAAAAAGAGTGACATCACTGTAGCGATGGGTAGTCTCTATATAAATTTGAACAACTTCTGTGTTTCACTAGCCTCTTTGACAACTGAACTGTAACCAGTTATCATGCTAGCAATCAATAGCAACTGGCTCAGTTCATGAGGTAAACTAAGATGAAAGTGTTTTTTTTTTTGTTTTGTTTTTTTTTTACTCATTTTAAGTGACTATCCTTTCTATGATTTGGGTACATGTATATCTGTTTGAATATTATTGCTCATTGATTTTGGTAGTTATCTGTTATCCTTAGAGGTTATTCTTCCTGGACTTTCATAGCCAACTATATTTAAATAATTTCCAGGGCAATTATTTTGAACATAATTACTTGATAGCTTATGAACTGAAAAAGCAGAGCAGTAATATTAGAAACAAAGTTTCAGCTACTGGCACCCAGTTACGTTTGGTTGTTATTTTCAGATGTTAACAACACAAAGGTATATGGACCACACATTGGTCTCTTCAGCCACTCACTTAGGTAGAGAGCAAAACTTTGGAAAGTACAATCTAACAAAAATCCACTTACAAATGAATTCAGTTCTGGTCACTGGTCTCTTTGATCAACTAATGCTAAATATTAATCTTTATATGGGGAGTTACTTATGACCTCATACCTGATTATCTCAATTTAGAAACACAAAGCACCCGGTCTATTACAAAGTTAACCTGTGAAGGAGGACTCTTCTTTTTGGAGAAATGTTTTTATTATACATTCTCCACAGTAATATTTACATACTCCCCATAGTCTCACAGAAATTCCTGAGTGTCTTTGGTGGATAACTACTCTAAGATATCATCTCACTCCAGTAAGAATGGCAGCTGTTATGAAGACAAACAACAATAAGTGTTGGTGAGGATGTGGGGGAAAAGGTACACTCATACATTGCTAGTGGGACTGCAAATCGGTGCAGCCAATATGGAAAACAGTATGGAGATTCCTTGGAAATCTGGGAATGGAACCATCATTTGACCCAGATAGCCCTCTCTTTGGTCTATACCCAAAAGACTTAAAAACAGCATACTACAGGTACACAGCCACATCAATGTGGCTACAATTCACACAATTCAGCACAATTCACAATAGCTAAACTGTGGAGCCAATCCAGATGCCCTTCAGTGGATGAATGGAAAAAAAAATGTGGCATATATACACAATGGAATTTTACTCAGCAATAAAAGAGAATAAAATCATGGCATTTGCAGGTAAATGGATGGATAACTTCAATTCTACATAATCCTCAAATATCCTCTCTCCTCGCTTGAACCCCCATTATATTCCCACCCTAACGCTTCTTTCCCGAAATATCATGTTGGGAAAAAAATCCAGATTTAGTAAGTAAGCAGAGGCTTTAAATGAAAGGATTATTGCAAGAGGAAGAGGAAAGGAGTGCCTACAATACTCAGAGGTAGACCAGTGCAACAAGGAGAACACTGGCCATAAGATTTCTAAGCATGTCAAGAGGTAGGCAACAAAAGTTTTTCTTTTATAGGAAGGTGTAAACAAACCTAGAAAACATTTGATGTGCATAAAAAGAATAACATGAGTGGATGGTATAATAGAGAATGTTTTATCCTGAAGCAGTTTATTCTCAAGAGGTAATATTAAGAAGATATTGTATGTTGGCTAAAGTGCAGGGACATATGGAAAGAAGAGAAACTAAATCACAATTTAGTTAAAAAACATTGTTCCAATTGATCAGTGCATCAAGAAGAATAAGCTTATTATTTGTTAGGTAAAGAATGGGAATCTGAAGTGATGAGTCTGGCTTTGTCATCAGTAAACAAGTTGGACATCTATGTGTCTTGTCCATCTTATCTAAGTCATAGGGAGAAACGTGGTTTTGTTTTGTTTCTTTTTTCTTTTTCTTTTTTAGCAGTTCTTAAAACACAAAGACCTGTTTTTATGTTTGTTTGTTTGTTTTAATGTTTGCTGTTTTCCAGGATCACAGGACTCAGATAAAGTTCTACATTGTCCAATGATGTTAATCAAAGACAAAGTGATATCAAACTGACATTGAATGGAGCTACCAGGAAATAACAGCTTTTAGTATAATACTGGAATAAATAAAAAGCTCTGCCTTCCAAGTGGCTCATGTAGATGTGAGTTTCTTATATATGCCTAATATTGGTTAAAGGAATCTTAATTATTCAAGTCACATCAGAATTCAATATGAATAATATACATAAGTGTACATTTTTTGAACCTTGTTTTCTGTACTTCTCTCCAGCAGTAGAGAGGAACAGGAAGATCTTCTGTGATATTCTCTGGTGACCTCCTTGCAGGGATATCTCAGGCTTTGGTCATTAACTGCTTTAAGTTCTCAGTATTGATTACTTTTTACTGAAGAGACATATCTGACATGAAGTAAGCAGAGAAGAAAGAATCTAATGGTTTTGAAGACTCAAAGGGTAAGTCTATGGCAGAGCTATACAGAGAATCTTAAACCTCTAAATTTTAAAACTAAAACATTCCCATTTAAAAAGAAAATCAAATTGTTTCCCTGTGTGAATATTACTGAAAAAGGCAAATAGCACTCTGCAGCTACAGAAGAAGCAGGAAAAAATCTCTTTCTTGTGAATTCATCATTTCACAAACTCCAGGAGAGCAGAGAAGTGGACAGTGTACTGGAGAATGTTCCTGGGCTAGGTTCCCTACACATTTAAACCTGTAGAGAAAAGCAATATACAATATACAAAATAGTTAATTTTTGCCACTGTCGTACAACCCAGGCCTTTTGAGGCCTTTTGGAAAGTATTTACAACCTTACCTCACCCAAATAAAATCTATTTCAGAAGTAAGAACTAAAAGTTTAATAAAGAAATACAATGTAGGTCTTAAGAATATTAAGGAAATTTAATTAAGACATTTCTCTGTTTATAATAGTTTGGCAATTAAGCTGTTACCATATTGTCTGAGACAAAATAATAATAATAATAATAAGAAGAAGAAGAAGAAGAAGAAGAAGAAGAAGCAATTCCCCAAATCTGTGTAGCAACTAAGTTCAAGCCCTAGAGTTGCTGAAGTTAGCTTTGTATTAGAAAAAATAGCAAGTAAAAATCAACACAGAAATGACACAGATAAAACTTCTAAGCTGAAAACTGATTTTATTACTGTTAAATCACATGAATAATTTCTAATTGATTTCTATTGGGCAGGAATGTTATATTCCAGAACCATGTTCATCTATTTATCACAATATTCTATATGACATATGGAAACTAATACATTGCTTCATTAATATTTACAGTCTTTCTCTAGTTATGGCCCAGAGTTATTTAACATTCTAAAACACAGCATTTATAATTACATATTTTACATTTTACTCTAATTTTAATACTCTAATTTTTATATTGTTAGCATAACTAACTTTTTAACTATGTACTCTTTTCTCCCTTTACCATTAGCATATCAATCAAATTTGCATTATTCTGCTTTGCTCATTTTATTAAAAGCGAATTCAGGGCACAATTGACTTTTCATTTGTTTAACAAGTGAAGAAATATTTACCTTGACAGCCATTGCATTGTAGAGATTCATCTTCATAGTATAATGTGCTAGCTGTGAATCAAAAAGAAAAAAGATGGCATACATTTCAGTTGCAAAAAGACAGTACAGCCTATTTTTACATATAAAAGATAAGAATCTTTATACATAATACATAATAAGAGTTCTAGGCTTAGAAAAATGAAATCAAACTTTGTATTGAAGAGATAGGCTTCCTAATACATAATGCAAGCTTAACCAGAAAAATCTATGGTAGTCAAACTAGGAGCTAATAGAGATATATGATCATAAAATGCTCTCCGCTGAGTTTGATAATCAATGGTGCTCTACTGAGAATAGAATAACAAAGCAGAAATATTCACAAGTGCTGGTGACACGTAGTATTGTATGATTTATTCACTGGGGTTCTTTTAGCCAAAACTCACAGAAACATAAAAGGAATTCATATTTCAAGACGTCTGGTTTAATGAAAAATTCAAAGAAATGCTGTCTTCAGTCGAAATCGTTCAAGGATATGGATGCAGTGATGGAGCAAAATTGTGCCTTCCAACCATCTATGCAAAATGTTATGTACTTAGCTGCCTCCTGAGTAATCCTTGGGAATTTTGTTTCATTTAATATTCATTCTAACACTATAAAATCATAAATACAATGATATCATGTTATAGCAAATCCCTTGATAAAGTTAAGACTTCCTGAAGTCTTGGTTTCTGTCTAGTAAAGACACATCTATTAATATATTATACAAATCTCCGTTATAGTAAATAATCATTCAGTAATGTAGCTTAATTCAATGAAAATATTGCTTTAAATAAAGCTTCTACATCTTCTTTATCATTTAATGAAAATGAAATGGTAACATAACTCATGACGGTACAATAAACAGTAAGACCAATGAAATACACATTTTTCAACATGATATACAACTTGATCCATTTTTATTCAATCAAAATTCATTCAACTAACATAACTTCCGCTTGGTAATGAGTGCTTTGTTTAGGACAAAAATAAGAAAAAAAAATCTTCACCCTTTATCAAGGAGTTTTCTTCTCCATGGCAAACAAGTATTCATATAAAAAGGTTTCCCTGTAATTAGTGTCATTTGAATTGCCTGGTCTGATCCAAAGCAAATTGTCTGTGGAGAGCAGCCGGGCTGGATTATTTATCAACAGTCTGAGCAATTAAGAAACAGTTGGTTGCAATATGTTATTTACAAATGAACACAATGTTACTTCATTTTAAATTCTCTTTCTTCCTTTATAGCAAGCAAGGCATGATTTTGGCATTTGAGGTGATTTTAAATATTTACTTTACAACTGTTATTTCTTCAAGTCATATTGAAGCAGACATTTCTGTTAAATATTTTATAAGGAAGAAGTATTATTGGAAATTAGATATTCCAAAAAGTTTTGCCTCACAGAAAAGATGCTTATTATCTTTATCATAACATTATTTCACTAAAAGTAGACGCTGAAAGTAGTAGTGTATGATTTTTTGAATCAGAGACTCAATCCCTGAATTCAATCCCTTAGTTTGCTTTATGTTATTTTATTTTAGTTTATTTTTAATTTTTTGATGGATCTTTCTATATTGCACAGGTTGGTTTTGAACTCAGGGACTCAAGTGATCCTCCCTACTTAGTCTCCCTACTCAGGCTCCTGAGTAACTAGCATTTGCCACCATGCCCAGCTGACTTTGCAAAAGTTACTTTAAGTTTCTCAGTCTTGATTTTTATCCTTAGAAAATAAAGCATTACATGTTTCATTGAGTTGTTATAAAGATTAAAATGAGATGAAATAATGGATATGGCTGATTGTCAAGAAAAGCATTATTATTTTGTGTCTAAAAGTATATGATTTAGCTACAAGTAAACTTCAAAAAATTTTAAAAGGCTAAAGTTTATTTTCAACTAATGGGAAATAAAGATATAGCTTTTGAACTTAAGAATTCTGAATTCTCTATTTAAGAGGTGGAAAAGCACTTTAATTCCAGCATTTCAGTCTCAAGTGAATTGCTAATTGGTACTACATTTATTTTCAATTCTCTGGCCCAGATGCTTTTTAAAGACATTCCTGCCAAATGTGACACAAATATTATGTGATCTCATTTATATGACATACATAGAGTAGTCAAATTCAGAGAGATAGAAAGTAGAAGAGTGGTTCCCAGGGGTTAGGGGGAAGTCATATTGTTTACTGAGTATGTTTCAGTTGGGGATGATGAAAAATTTTTGGAAATAAATAGTAGTGATGATTGAATTAACAATGTGAATGTAATTAATGCCTGAATAATAGTTAAAATGATTAAAATGGTAAATTTTATTTTGTATATATTTTATTATGATTTCTTTTAAGAAACACACAAAAATTATATGTGAATAGGAACTGTGCATTTCCACAAGCTATTTGGGAGAAATACTTAGTGTTATATAAAATTTTATCTCTGTGTTTATTCACCTTGAGCAATGATAATTATTTGTTACATACATGTTTATACTTTGGTTACATTATTTAAATATTAAAACCTTTGTTCTTAAAATTATTTTCTGTCCTAATTTTTTTTTTTTTGGCCATGATATACAGATGGACAAGAAAAGCATATGGTGAATAAAATATCCAAGAATGACAAGTTTTTGTAATTTCTCAATGGACAAAGTTTTTAATTTTCCTTAGTATTTATTAATCTTCTTTTATGATTAAGACACCACATATATTTTAAATGGGAAGACTATAGATCTAAGGTGAAAATTAAACATAAAATGAGTATATACTGTTTCATCGTAATGGAAATGTGGTGCTCAATTTTAGATGTTCAACATATGCTTGCTGAATAAATAAGAGAAGGGAAAGAGAGAGGGATGCTGGAAACAAGGAAAGATGGATAAAGAGAACTGATGTCTTGTGTTTAAAACAGTATAAAGAATTCCTGGGATGATGGTATTTGAACACTATCAAGCATTTATTAGCTGTATGGCCTTTGTCATATTATCTAGCTTTATTTTTAGAAGGCTTCTGAAAATTTTTTAGGAGAAAATACTTCTTTTGAACACTCAAATATTTGGCGGGGTGGCTAATATACACAAGGACTTTTGGACAGAGCTACTATTCAGCAAAATTAGACTAGAGTGTTCACAGATGTTATTTATAACAGGTGTCCTTTCTGATTTGTTAGTCACCAATTCTGACAAGTGAATGAACTTCCTGTATAGACTGCCAAGTATTTTGAATAATATTCTGTGTCTAAGATAAACTTCTGACTACTTCACTTCACAATGGCTCTTTGCTTTGTATTTTACACTGAGGAATTGAGTCCTTATTCTCACCCAGCACTTTGATTTCCCTGAGCTTTGTCAAGTCTTCTTATCCCATGACTGAAAGTCCTCATACCTGCATAATCTTATTTTTAATTCATCTTGAATACTTTCTCTAGATTAATTTAGTCAAGTATTGTTTTTTTTAATCAACTTATTTTAATTTTTTTTTTTTTGGTGGTTTCCAGTTGCTTAAGGTAAGGAAGGCATCTTAATTAGGCTGACTGAAGTAATTAACATTCTTGAATTTTTCAGATCTCCAGGAGGGAGAGAGATGAAATTACAAACTAAGGTACATAACACTTAATCTTCTTATTTCCCTAGTAGGGAAATACTAATAAGAATATGTCCCATATTTGAGTCTGTCTCTTCCTGCCTGTCTTTCTCTCCCTCCCTTCTGTCAGGTGATTTACAAAAGGGGGTGGATAAACATTGGGGCAGCCCCAAAATGGCGATGGTTAGGCTCCCTTGCCGAGGCTTCTGGTGGGCTGTTATGTTTTATGTTTTTAGTATGCAGCCAAGGCCATGAATTGGTTGTGTATGGTTAGTGTGTAGTCATGATCAGAAACACACTGATTCACTATATTTACTTGAGATAATAAATTTGCTTGTGTGCATGAGTTCACTGAAGGAACCTTTTGGCAGTGTTCCTTCTTTGTTTAGACTGTATATAAAAAGAGGCTAAATGGAACTGAGGAGGCAAAATGGAATTGGCTGGGGGCTAAAGCCAAAGTTAGAGGCTAGAAGCTGTTGCCACCTCTGAATAATGTCTACTATCCTAAGTGTGCTTTGCAGTCTGCATCTTCTTCCACCTACTGAGATCCTGAATCGGTTTCCTGGGTCTGAGCTCCTGCACAACAGTAAGTTAGAATCACTACCTTACAGGTCAAAGTATTATTCAAAGTTCAACATCAAGTTCCAATATTTTTTTCCAATTTCTCTCACAACTCATTTCATTTAAACCTCAATCTGATAAATTAGTGCATATTTTTCTTCTCTATTTCCATGTTTATATTACTCACTTTGTCTTAACATTCATTCCTTTCCATTCACCCCAAATCTATCTCCTGTTCTTATTTACAAACATATTAGAAGAAACTATCTTTTCTCCCTTACTCTAAGTACAAACAATTAGAATAAATAGTATTCTCCTAGATCCACTGGGTATTTTCAAAACTTTTCAAATCAGTAAGACATATATCTTTTAAAAAATAATAACAAAAGAAACAATGATGACAAGCTTTGAATCTCAATCTTTCCAATTTTATTATATTGCCAATTTTGGTGTTGTCAACCTTCATTTAGCCTCCAGACCATTTGATCCTTTCTCTCCTCATTGTCATTCCCCAAATATTCCAATCATATGGGATGAAGATTCTGACACCTAGCTAAAGGTCTTACTCTTTATCTTTTTTAATACAACTCCCGTGTTATCTCAAAGGTTTTCATATTCAGGTGCACAGCACATTCAATTATCTACTGTCATTCCATACAAACTGCACTTTAATTTAGCCTCATACTCCCACAGTATGCTCCAGATCTTGTCAAGTATAAATGTTCTACCTCTTGTCTTAAACCCTGACTGCAAATTCCTCTGTTTAAGATCCTGATGGCTAAACTTCTATTCAAAAGCTCTAGACAGATCTCTCCTTTCCTTGATTTTAGGTTCCTTCCATATGCTTTCATAGGTAATATACAATGGCTACTTGTTTTTGTTTTTGCTTTTTACTTGCACAGGAGCCCA